GCTGGCTGTGGATCTGCCAGCAGCGGGACTGTCTGAAATGTCAGACAGTCCCCCTGCTGGTGGGAAGTGTAAAAAAAAAAAACTATTAAATGTGTAAAATTAATTAAAAGTATTTTTTTATATATAATATTTGTATATCTATTATATATATATATATAATATATATACATATTATATATATGTAACGTCATACAAAGTGTATTTTAATATTAATATAAGTACATATATTAGTATTAGTAAAATACATATATATATATATATATATATATACGTAGAATTACAATAATAAATAAAATAAAATTAATAAATAAAGTATTGAAACTAAATTTTATATAAATTATATATTCATATGTAATTTCATTCTAACTGTATTTTGTTATTAATATATGTATATTGGTAACAAAATACACTTAGAATGACATTCTATATATAATCTATCTATATATAAAATACAAATAACCACAAATATATATAATATAGATAAATACATATAATTACATAAAAGATTACATTAGTATACACTAGTAGAATTTTAATACCTATAAATGCATATATATATTAAAATTCTACGTGTATATTTAAGTAATCTTTTAACATAATTATGTTATTTGATTAATTAAAATTTGATTGACATCCCTGACAACACAGGGAGAAAGTGCAGAGAATATAATTTGCAAGCACTATATTTGACCCTGTAACTCTCCAAGACACCATAAAACCTGTACATAGGGGGTACTGTTTTACTCGGGAGACTTCGCTGAACTCAAATATTAGTGTTTAAAACTGGTAAATTGTATTACAATGATGATATTTTAAGTAAAAGTGAAGTTTTTTGCATTTTTTACAATGAACTGCACTTTTATGGACTATATTATTGTTGTAATATGTTTTACTGTTTTAAAACACTAATATTTGTGTTTAGCGAAGTCTCCTGAGAATAACCGTATCCCCCAATGTACAGGTTTTATGGTGTTTTGAAAAGTTAGAGAGTCACATATAAGGCTTGCATTTAATTTTTTTGACATTGAAATTTGCCAGATTGGTTATGTTGCCTTTGAGAGCGGATGGTAGCCCAGGAATGAGAATTACCCCCATGATGGCATACCATTTGCAAAAGTAGACAATCCAAGGTATTGCAAGTGGGGTATGTCCAGTCTTTCTTAGTAGTCACAAACACTGGCCAAATATTAGTTTTTTGCTTTTTTCACACAAAAACAAATATGAACGCTAACTTTGGCCAGTGTTTGTGACTAAGTGGCTACTAAAAAAGACTAAACATACCCCACTTTCAATACCTTGTGTTGTCTACTTTTCAAATGGTATGCCATTATGGGGGTAATTCTTATTCCTGGGCTACCACATCGTCTCAAAGGTAAAATTACTAATCTGGCAAATTTCAATTTGAAAATGGAACGTTCTATATTTAACCCTGTAACTTTCCAAAACACCATAAAACCTGTTAATGGGGGGTACTGTTGTACTCGTGAGACATCGCTGATTACAAATATGTGCATTTTTTGCAGTAAAACCTAACAGTATTATGACATTCACAGCTAAAATGTCAGACGGAAATACAAATTTAAAAAAAAATCATATTTTTTTCACTTTTTTTAAAATTTTATTCATAATAAATTATGTTCAATATATGAATAGTTAATGAAAAATTAAAGCCCTGTTTCTCCTGAACAAAATGATATATAAGTGTGGGTGCACTCAATGTGACAGCGGTGAATTACGGTTGAACAAACATATAGCGCAAATTCCAGTTTTTGTTTACGTTTTGTTTTGATCAGAACGTGTACTATTGACTCCGTCCTGAAGGGGTTAACAATTTAATTGATATGCTTTTGTGGGGAAAAAGTGAGTTTTTAAAGTTTTTTTTTTTTTTGAAGGAGTGGAGTCTGGGGTAGTGTCTAACGGAGGAGGGATTATAGACTGCAATGGGGCACGTTGGGAGCATGTAAGACCAGTGAGAAGCAGATTACAGTAGTTAAGGCGAGAGAGGACAGTGGCATGGACCAGCACCTTATCCGCATCTGGTGTTAAGTAGGGGCGGATGAGCGCAATGTTTTTATGATGGAAGCGGCATGATCTGGCGATAGGCTGGACATGAGGCTTGAAGGAGAGGTCGGAGTCAAAGAGAACACCTAGGCAGCGAGCCTGCGTGGTGGAGCTGATGGTGGCGCCGTTGACTTGGAGGGAGACAGACACAGGAGTAACAACACTTGAAAAAGGAAAGACCAGAAGTTCGATTTTGGACAAGTTGAGCTTAAGGAAGTGGGCAGCCATCCAGTTAGAAATAGCAGAGAGGCAGTCAGAGACACTAGTCAAGAGGGGTGGGGAGAGATCAGTGGAGGAGTGATAGATTTGCGTGTCATCTGCATAGAAGTGAAATTGGAAGCCAAAGGACCTGATCAATTTACGTCTTCAATCCTAAAACAAGGCGATATTGACCAGCAGAATAAAAACACTTCCTATATAGGGACTACGTCACATTATGCTCCTTATAGGGACGATTAGTGTTTTTTCTTTCTTTCTGTATAATTTGTTGGGTTATCTCCAATATAGATCCCTATCGCACGGCACGGTCGGTTCTTCTTTTCTAAGGAACCATATTTTTCTTTCAAATAAATGATATTGGCAAGATGGAATGGCAAAGAAAGGTAAAAACTAGTTAATTTGGAAAATGTCTTCCCCCCTTTTTTTGCCTAGAGTTTGGTGTTTACTGAATAAATCTCTTTGTGTCGCCTTAGGGGTGATTTTATATTTATTTAGGTGAAAGCTTCAAAAGTATATTAATTATTCATACAGCTCCAACCTATACCATAGCGCTGTACAGTACGTGAATGGCCCCTAAAAGGAATACAGGGACAAGAGGTGCTGAGTACCTTCCGCAGAAGAGCGTACAGTGTAATGGAAGTGAGAAATAGGCAAAGACGGGATTGCAAAAATTCAGGAAAAATTTTAACCATTTGCAGATTTATTTCCCAGCCATTTTGGCCTGACTTGTGTAAACAGTTGTGAACGGAGAGTGCATGGTGTTGGGAGCGAGTCTGAATGACTGAGAACGTTGATAGAGGGTTGACAATGCCAGAATGATGTGCCCAGCATGCTGGCGACTGTTATCAGGCTGGTGTAACGAGCCCGGGACGATTAGATGGCATTAGCCGGGAATAAATTGGATGAGATTTCATTGTTTTGCAGCTGCATACGCGCGTGGACAGAAGTCTCCCGCTGCTTGCAGAATCCAAACCCGGGGCGGTGCTGCATAGCAGAACACACTCAGTCTAATTTAATGTTTCTCTGTTTCTGCACTGCCAGCTGTAACAAAACTAATAGATTCTTTGTCCTCTGGAAATTGCTACTTCCACACGAGGTGCACTTATACTCCCCCTAAGAGCTTACATTTCGCTGTTTGCTCTCCTCTGGCAGTGAGTGGTAAAGGAACAGACTGTGTCAAGTTCTAAAAAGCCCTTTATAGTACCATGGGTTACCAATGATAAAAGCCTGGCATTTACAAAAGGTACCAAACCTCCAATTTAGACCCTATTAGTCACTGCTCAGCTCATATCCTAAGAAACCCTCCCTTCTCCCCAAGAAGTCGAACCCGCTGCACCCCCCATTGAAGATGCAGAATGTGGATACACCTGTCAGTTTCTCGAATAACGAAGCTGTCTAACCGCTGGTTATGTGCGACATCTCCGTCATTGGTCCACCTTTGTGTTTCGGAGTGTGGGAGCTAATTAGATGCCGTGCCGCCTGTCTGTCACTTATTCAACAAGCAGCCGCATTAAAAAGGAGATGTAGAAAGGCTGTCTCCTTATCTAGAATAATTATACACGACAGGAAGGATTGTCGCTGATTAACTTTTCATATGCCAGAGTGCAAGGAGAACTGTGTTATTCTCAGACGCACCTGGGTCCCTGTGCAATATATATGTTGGGGTGTCATGTTCGTCAGACTGAAGGTAACTGCCCGCCATGAAAGGTGAACTGCAGGATGCCCCCAGGACATTTGGAGGAGTTAAGGTGGAATATAGTTTTACATATTCTCTTACAATTAAAGAATGCGGGGCAACAAGCTAATATTACTGAAGAGCTCACTCGTCAAAATTTAGGCCAAACTAAAACGATTGTTGGGATGTTGGAAAGTTATTTTTTTCGGCTGGACTATATTGGGGTAAAATAGGCACGTCCTTGGTAAATTTTCCAGATTAAGGAGGGCACCCCATAATGTCTGTGCCCATCTCAACAAGCTGAATGCATGGCAAACGGGAGGACAGAAGCTGCCGTAGATAAGGAATTCCGTCTTTGATATCTGTTTTTCTTTATTTAGGATATATCAATAAAGATACACTGTCCTCGGGCTCATTAATACGGAGTAAAATGTTTCCCCTTAAAAAAGAAGAAATCCCCTTTGTTGTTTTGTTCAGGGAAGATTCACTGCACGGCCTAATTAGCGAGGAACGCTGCTCTGTCACGCTGCTGGTGCTGACAATTAAAATGTGATTGCTCTTATTGGGCTAATTCAGTTGTAAATTACATACCCGAGCGCCGTTTGGTGCTAACACAAGATAACAAATTGCTGTCTTATTGTGTGTCAGGAATGTTTCGAAGGCTGAATAAACAGCCCCCCCTCCCCACGAGGGCGCCGCAGGATGTCGGTTTACCACAATGAACAATGTGTACAACTGTTCCTTGTAAAAAGCTAGCCACTCGCAGTGACATCCAGCTCTGCCAAGGGGACTGGCACACGGAACCATTCTCACTTTACTCCCAGAAATTATCACAACCAACAGCAACATCTGTATCCCCTAAACCAGGCTTCCAACAGAGCGAGGGGTGAGGGCGCATGAACCCCAAAATGGACTGCAAGGTGCTGCTTGTGCTCTGTGCAGTTATAGTGTTAAACCTCATCCAACCGTAAACTGGCATGACTTCGGCAATGTGCTCTCTGTGGTTATGGTTTACCCCCCTCACCTAACTCTGGGCCCTGGCACAGTGCAAGCTATGCGATTTCAGGGGTTATACTGTACCCTCTCACCTAACTGCTGTCACGGATACACTACCAAACTCTCACGTCTTAGTTCAGAGATCGGAAAACTAGCAGAGCATGTTTTATCAGATGCCAGAATGACCGGGCTTAACGTGTGAAGATAAATAGAAAGAAAACAGTTATTCTAGCCAAAATCAGGATAAACGAAATACAGAGGATGATGTGCACTGAATGAGGAACCAAGAGGAAACCACGACAGTGCAATCAACGTGGGGCTAATACTTTATTTATATATTGAGGCGGTCACCCCTGCGATCCCACAAAAGGCAGAAATGACAGCACAGGTATGACGTTGGTCTCCTGTGGCCAGAAATGACACTAATCATCTTATTAACATAAGTAGAAGGGGCGCTACGAGCATGTAGTGTCCATATCTCTGCCCAGAACAAAGCAAGTGCCTGCTTCCCAATCAGTGCTTCAAGAACATTCGGGAATTACGAATTTCAGTGTCGATCAGGAAGGCAGAGACAGTAGAAGAGGACATGAAGACATGGCCCCCTGAATGACGCTCGCAGAGTTTGCTGTTATATTTAAAAGAAGAAAAATTACCACCACAAGAGGGCATAGTCTTAAATTACAGGGGCAAAGGTTTAAAACTAATATCAGGAAGTATTACTTTACTGAGAGGGTAGTGGATGCATGGAATAGCCTTCCAGCTGAAGTGGTAGAGGTTAACACAGTAAAGGAGTTTAAGCATGCGTGGGATAGGCATAAGGCTATCCTAACTATAAGATAAGGCCAGGGACTAATGAAAGTATTTAGAAAATTGGGCAGACTAGATGGACCAGCAGTGTGCACTCTGTGTGGTTATATTGTATCCCCCACAACTAACTGTACACTGGCACAGCTCCAGCAGTGTGCTATCTGTGCGAATACAGTGTACACCCCCCAAGTAACCATATGCTGGCAAGGCATCGGTGTTATCACAGCAAGAGCAAGGAACGAATGTTACCTCCTGGCGTGTTTGGTTTGCGAGGCCAGAGAGGTTTCACCAGCAGTAGTTTCCATTTAATGTTCGGGGTAAATTAAAAGATTTTGGAAGTTCCAGAGAAATGCTCAGATATACATTAGTTTCAGGCGTAAACAAGTTTATTGTCATGAACAATCAGTTTGAAGAGCTGGCCTGGAGCTCTCTGCATCTCCAGACTCCTCGGAAAGATTTGTGTGACCCCCAGCTTATTCTGCAGCCACCAGCAGGGAGCGGGTATCTGTCTCCCCAGCACCAGGCTGACTGCGCCATATCAGCCCCTGGCATGGCTCTCAGACAAACTCACTGCTGGCTCTCTGCAGCTTTGTGGGGGAAAAAAAAGAGAAATTAGAGAAAATAATAACATGGAGAGCGTTTTATCCAAGTAATAATGTGACTATAAAAATACCTCTAGAACATTGATATGAAGTCACTAAATAATGGATGAATATAATACTGTAATGGATAAAACTAGATATATCACTGTGATATAATGTCACTGTGATATAGTATAAATGTAATAATGTCACTATAATAGTGTAATGATATCACTAATACAGTATGAATGTAATAATGTCACTATAATAGTGTAATAATATCACTAATACTGTATGAATGTAATAATGTCACTATAATAGTGTAATGATATCACTAATACAGTAAGAATGTAAGAATGTCACTATAATAGTGTAATAATATCACTAATACCGTATGAATGTAATAATTACACTGTGGAATGTGACTATAATAGTGTAATATTACTAATACTCTATGAATGTAATAATGTCACTAATGCTGTATGAATGAAACAATGTCACTATAATGGTGTAATAATAATGAATGGATATAATTTCACTATACAATGTCACTATAATAGTGTAATAATATCTAATACTGGATGAATGTATCAATGTCACTATAATAGTGTAATAATATCACTAATACTGTATGAATGTAATAATGTCACTATAATAGTGTAATAATATGTCTAATACTGTATGAATGTAACAATGTCACTATAATAGTGTAATAATATCACTAATACCGTATGAATGTAATAATTACACTGTGGAATGTGACTATAATAGTGTAATATTACTAATACTCTATGAATGTAATAATGTCACTAATGCTGTATGAATGAAACAATGTCACTATAATGGTGTAATAATAATGAATGGATATAATTTCACTATACAATGTCACTATAATAGTGTAATAATATCTAATACTGGATGAATGTATCAATGTCACTATAATAGTGTAATAATATCACTAATACTGTATGAATCTGATCATTTCACTGTATTAATATAATAAATTATTATTACTATAATAGTGTACTAATGTCACAATAATAATGTATGCGTGTAATGTCAATTTGAAGATGGCTGTGAAAATGGCACCGCATTACTGTAATTACGTGATTATAATTTCTGAATGGGATTTCTCTGCAATAAATGTTACATTGCTGTTAAAATGTCACTATAATTCTCTATCAATGTATCATTGTAGTCTTAACATGTGTGACTGTATATTGATTTAATGGGCTCTCGGGATTTACTCTGTATGGAAAACATGTATCACTAAAAGGAATTAAAATCGAACCTGAGAAATGAGTCACAGAGCTTGCATTCTCCAGGTCATGTTGTAACAGGTCTATGTACTAACAGTGTACACAACCTGCATGTATCTAACACCTCTACGAACTAATTAGAAATAGTGGTTATTGGGGATGGGGGATGCCATATTTACTAACCAGTGCCCTGAATCTACCCAGCTACCTAATGCTTATGGTTCTATGGGTGTGGCTAAATGTGCTTTGTGGGTGTGGTTATCGAAAGCTGCACATTTTGATGGGTTTTACAAGCCCGCCCCTGAGCAACCAAACTAATCCATAATAAGCTAAATATGAGAAACCTTTCTCCATGAATCCATCCCCTGGCATCCAAACTCCTCAACCCATCCCCCAACATCCACACCTCTTCACCCTCCCTCCTTGCATCCACAGCTCCTCAACCTTTACACTTAACATGCACAACTCCACCTTTCCCCCCTAACATCCACAACTCCTCAACCCTTCCCCCTAATATCCAAAACCACTCATACCCCCCCTTATCATCCACAGCTCCTCAACCCTCTCCCCTTACATCCACAACTCCTCAACTTTACCCCCTAACATCCATAGCTCCTCAACCTTTACCCCTAACATGCACAACTCCACCTTTCCCCCTTTAACATCCACAACTCCTCAACCCTTCCCCCTAATATCCAAAACCCCTCATACCCCCCCCCCTTCATCCACAGCTCCTCAACCCTCTCCCCTTACATCCACAACTCCTCAACCCTACCGCCTAACATCCATGGCTCCTCAACCTTTACACTTAACATGCACAACTCCACCTTTCCCCCTTTAACATCCACAACTCCTCAACCCTCTCATTTGTTCCTCAGTTTGCAATGGACCCATCAGTTTTTCCCAATTCACAGTTTAGTAAATAAAGCCTTTTTATTCAGGATAATGTACCCATCAATAAAGTGCTGAGACTGGAACACGGACTTTGAGAAAATAGCCCAAGACTGCAGTGGTATCTGCTCTGCAAACTTTACATTTCTGATAATATTACCTTCCTGAGCTTCCGATCCACTCTTGTCTGACACCCGGGTCTTGATTTCATATTTTTGGATAAACTTTTCAAATTATTTATTATATTTGATAAACTTTTACAATAATCGGATGTTTTAAAAATATTGTAATATTTTATGATATACTAATATATTTTTTTAAATATGTTTTTTTGATACTCTATTTTCTTCCAAAATTTGAAAAGCTTATCCAAGATGTAAGCAATATTTATGAAATGTATTAAATCGAGACCTATGTCAGACAAATTAGGAGTATGTACATGTACATGATAAAGGCCTCGACGTAATAAGCTTTTTAAATAATTTAATACTGTAATAAAAACTGTTGGAATTTCTGTAGATAAATGATTTGGGAAGTTTTTACTGGTAATTCACTAAAATTTGGAGTTTAGTTAATCGCCCTGTCTGTAGTGTCTATTTACTAAACAATGAATTGCGGTCAATCGAAAACTGAAAAACTCTCCATCTCGCTATAATTACAGTGGGCTACTGTGTTCAGATTTAATTTTACTGCCATTCGGAGTCTATGATATACACTATATAAAGAACGAGTGCGCCACCTAGGGGCCATATGTGTGGAGGACATTTTATTTGCTGGCATTTCCCACTGAAGGTGTGAAATGCGCACTTCTCAGTCCAATTACCTGCCAGAAATCCATGCATTAGCGGATTAAGTTGTTAGTGTGATATTTATTTAATTGAAGTCATTTACCCAGAAATGTCTCCAGAGAGAAATGAAAATCAATCAGGAAGAAGTTTAAGCACTAGAAAACATCTGGCAAATCTATTACATTTTAACTCATTCTTTGACGGAGTGTTTGTACAAAACATTAACCTCCTTCACTGATATCACCATGTACAAGCAGGCTTGGTTTAGCCTTTGTGACACAACTTACAATATTTTCATTCTGATTTCAGGAATCTCCTTACTGCACAATATATTTACTATTTTTTTTTTAATGTTTGGATAGACGATATATTTTAAAGACAGCACCAAAGATGTTTTACTACAAGTACCAGTCGGTAAACCAGGAGTGATGGCAGCTTGTCAGAGGTCAATTGATGCAGTCTCCAAGCAGGTAAGTCTCACACTGAGGATTATGAAGTAGGTAAGTGACCACCAAGCTTGTACATAGGCACAGTGCTGGAAAGTGGCTTAAATTCCCACAACCACAACCTGTTACCCACATTTTACCCATCTACAGACTATCAACATTCCCCAGAGGGAGGACAAGTACTAAATAGGACAAGCAGTAAGATAAGATGTAAATACCATCTTATCGATACCCGCCCCATCACCCCCAGCCCCTAGGCAGCTGCAGAATAGAACAGATAGTATAGCACCCCTCGGACAGTTGGGGAGTGGGATCATGACTGTGGCACATACTGGTAGGGTCTGTCAGGCTAAGGTGGTGAGAACAGATACAATGTTGCAAGTTTTGATTTACAAAATAGGAGGTTAGAGGGGTGTGGGACTTACCAGTTGGACAGTAGGAAGGTTGCATCTCCTGCACTCCCCAGTATTCATTGAATTGACCAGTGTTGGTGTTCTGTG